TCGTTAGAAACCCATCCCCGGTTCCCACTGTGTTTTCCTCCTCTCTCCTCCCAGAACGTCGAAAACGACCCCAACGATGGAGCCCATCCCGTTCCCGCTGGGATTTCTCACCCTGCTGCCTCGAGTTCGTCATCGATTTTGTTCTCTCTCGTTTCTTCCAATTGCTCATCGTCGTTAGGTATTGACTCGGCACCGTCGTGAACACTCTCGAGGTCGTCGAAACTGTTGAACGCCGGTAAGAGTTTGCTCTCGAAGGGGTGATTGCTCTTTACTCACCATAGCCGTCATCGTACATCGTCGCCCACGTCGCCCGCCTGATATTCTCCTCATCGAGCGCTTATTTCCTCCGCGAGACTCGTCGAGTGAGTTGTTTCATTCACTCTCTCGTGTTTTCCAGTGAGTTCATCATCGTCGTTAGGCATTGACCCGCCGCGCCGCGCCCCATATGAAGAGACCCGGTAAGAATTTGCCTTCGATAGCAGTGGTTCTCCTGGACTTCTCTTAGCCTGCTGGCTCGCTGGTATACGCCCACCTGGCTCGATTCTCCGCCTCGTCGAGTTCGGTCATTATCATCGACGACGTCCCCAGCGGTAAGCGAGTTGTTCTGGTTCTCGTCCTTCTACATGCTCATCGTGGTCGTTCCAGGCGCTCGAAATGCCGCCGTGGTTTCCGACGTGGAGGGTAGGTGCCTTCACTTCACGTCGCGGCCGTCGTCAATGTGTGCAGAGAAGGACTGGGCAACGGTAGGCATCTTTGTATGAATTGGGGTGATCAGAGCTCACCGTATCCTCGCAGCCCGCATTGACGGCCTTCCTTCTCTTTCGCGGCGCGAGCGAGAGTCCAGCACAGGTGAAAGCGGTGGCGGTAAGGTTGCCCCGTTGTTCTCGAACGCGATGCATGCCACGTCGGTCGCCTAACATTCACCTCCCCCTCCTCCTCGAGTTTGGGTGTGATCATAAAGGTCGGCGACAAAGGTAAGTGATGTCTGGTCCTCTTATGTGCTGATCGTCGTCGTCGTTCTGGGTGTTCGACGCCGCTAATTCTTCCGACGTCGATGGCTTTACTCTTCATTTTCACGCCGCTCCTCGTTGATGTGTATCAGGATGGACTAGAGAATGGTAAGCGTCTTTCTCGGAATCGGGGTTTGTTCAGAACTCACTGTGCGTCTCACAGACCGCGATGTCAAGCTTCCTCCTCGTCCGCGAAAGCCCAGCCCACCCCTCATGCCAGCGCTGATCGTCGAGCCGACGAGCCTACCTAATGACGTGAGATAACACGTCCAGTACGTCGTTGTTGATGAAAGAGTCGATCCCCCAGTTCATTGCTGCAGGTTCGCCTGGTTCGTTCATTGTCTTGCCTCCCGCATTCGTCGACGGCTAACTCGAGCAAGTAAATCGCAATCCGAAACCTGCGCCATTGCGAATAAGGGAGTGGTCCCAGTTGGGCTTGAAGGGAGGGACGTACGGATCAGGTTATGTTGTTCGCCCTGTGAGACCGTTGGCGTTGTCGTGTCGGCAATGGATATGTTGGTCCTCTCAGCGCAGTGCGAGTCTCTGTCGTTGTTGATCCAATGTGGGGCAGGTCGTCGTCCTGTCCTACGACGAAGGAAAGAAGCAGTAAATAGACGCCGCTTCCCGACATTGATAACTGGTTACTTTTTATCATTCACCACAGGCCCTCCATCAGCCAGCTTTGTTGGCCATTCCCATTTCCTCGAATTTTCCAGATGCACCTCTCGGTATTGCTTTCGAACGCGCTAATGTTCGAGTCGTGTTCGTCGTTGCCGATATTTTGTCAACGGGGACTTGTCGCTGAACAGTGTAGGATGCTCTCTCGATCGTGTTGGCCACAGCAATGCGTGAACATTATGTAGAGGGAGCGTAACTCGTAGGGACTGACACTCCCGTCTTCAAACTGTGAGCTGCAATGTTGCCGATGTACTGTATGCGGCGTTGACGTCGATCGCGTCTGCGAGATAGGGCGGACGATCGCGTACAGGACCTTTTAAGCGGCGGGTAGTCGGATAACTCGGAGGCTGGAAGGCGGAGGTGGCGAATGGGAGCCAGGAAAGATGACGTTTTTGGAGGAGGAAGCGAGTGACGAGAATCGTTTACATAAATGTGTCCGAGGCAACACACGATGGCATAGATTATGTCAGCGATTCCTTTTGTTTTGTTGAATGTCGTATCGGATCAAGGGAGCATTGAATGGACAAAAGGAAGGTCCCCACAGTCCAGATTTATTCAGATGTGCCAGATGGACAGCATTCTCACTCGCAGGGTCTCATAGATTTCCTTCTTTCTGGACCCCACTCATCTTCCACGACAAACGGGCGCGTAGGGGGAACGACACCAAAAGATGACTACGACATTGGAAAAGAAGCGGTTTCGCCGTCGAACGTGGAACGCAACCAAACCCGTGAGTAACATCTATTGTTTTTTCAAAAGAGTGGGACGATAACGGTGCTCCTACGCTAATTAGCATCTGCCAAAGTACAGCTCGGTACCAGAGCTGCAACTTGTGCCCCCAAGGCGCCCGCAATTCCATTGTCAGCGATGTGGCTTCACGAATACCCTCATTCCCCTATGCCTTTGGTGCACCTGGACCTCTGAGGAGGCAGAACACGAGTTCGAGTTATCTATGCCACGTGCTAGACGCGCCAGTGCACCCCCAAGAGTGTTCTTTAACAATGCAAACCCGCGGTGTGTCCGCCCACATGACCCAAAAAACGCGTCAAGTACGGACCTATGTTCGCCGGTCGCCCCTTCTCGTATCGTTGGAACCCACATCGCCGTCGTTCACGAGGAGACCCGGTTGGATTTGCCTGACGACTGTGACCGGGATACGGAGTAGTTGCGATGGGGCGTTCAAGAACATACGGAGACGGAACACGATGGCCGTCATGACGTTGCTAACGTGACAAAAGAGCCGGTAGGTAAATGCCTTGTCCACATAAATCACCGTGTTGAAACCCTTCTCTCAGCTACCACCACCCATTTTCCCTGCTAAAGGTGTTCAGGAAGGAGACGCGCGATCGCCTGGTGCGATGATTGATCTCCGTGATCCGCTCCGTCCTCCATCACCCACCCCGCTGCCGCTCAGCATTGTACGCTCGAAGTCAGAGCCCATGAAGACCCTCAAATCTTCCAGACGACTGCTCATCATCTGGCTTCACGAGCAGGAAAATCGACCAACCTTAATCACTAATTACGACTCGCCTAATTTTAATGCACCCTCACCTCCGCAACATTCCCGTACCCTACGAAGGAAGAAACCCTTGATTCCCAACTCCAACGCCACAGATCTAGAGCCCATTTCTATTTCACTGACCCTGCATTCTACTCCGTCCAAACGGGACATGAGTCGACCCGACAGCCCAACACACTCCATATCCAGGGATCCAATTACGCCGCCTATGACACCTACGCGACTGCCACCCACGAGTTCCCCAATCGCAGAGTCCACGAACAGCCCGGGCTCTAGTCCGGTAAGGCTTGGACACCCAAGTAGGCCATATTATACTGCCATCCGCAAGGGCGGGATATCTCCTTCCCCCTCGCGGCCGTCTTCGCTCAGCGGGCCCTCACCATCCGCATCGACGCGCCCGCAATCGTACCAACCTCCAACCTCATTCCCATTTGGGACTTCTCTAGAGACAACCTCCACCAGCGCGCGCCATCTCTCCATGTCTGCGATGTTCGTCGCGCCTAAGGGCGGGATATCTCCTTCCCCCTCGCGGCCGTCTTCGCTCAGCGGGCCCTCACCATCCGCATCGACGCGCCCGCAATCGTACCAACCTCCAACCTCATTCCCATTTGGGACTTCTCTAGAGACAACCTCCACCAGCGCGCGCCATCTCTCCATGTCTGCGATGTTCGTCGCGCCGTCCTCATCGCAGGGAATGTTCTCCGCTTTCTCGGTTATGGACGCTGATAGCGATAACCACCAGCGTGACACCGCATGTGAGGATGATGAGGACGAGGAGGATCTTCTGAGGATAGTTCCTCCGACGCCTGCGCCTTCGCGGTTCTCCTTCTCCTTGCCCGGAGATGTGCACCGCGTGGCACGTAAAGCCGCCGCGAAATCGGCGTCCCCCCATTCCCATTCGCAGTCTCTTTCTAGTGCGCGCTCAAAAGCACGCGGGAGCGGGATGGGGTTCTCCATGAGTGGAGAAACCGAGTTGAAGATGGCTTTGGCAGAGGACGGGTTTAGATTTAAGGAGACAACGACGCCCCTTACAGCTGCTAACTCCTCCCAGGCGGAGGCGGGTGCTGACGAAGATGTATTTGGGCGTGGAAGGTCCACGAACTTGAAGGACTCTGCGAGGAAGGGACACCGGACCGAAAGTTTCATGGGACGGGTGAGGAGGTTGAGGAAGGGCTTGAAGGATATGCTGGCGATGAATTCCTCTACGCCACTGACGCCGGCGACGAATCCGATTTGACGACTATCTTGCGACTACTAATGCTACTGCTATATATACCACCAACGACTTTGGACAACGTATCGACCTTTTGAGCCGCGTTTTTCTTTCTTCGCGACATGACCATAACTACTCACACACGCCAACAATAATAGGTTTACACCAGATGATATATTTCTCATCGATTCCTTGGATTCCCTCTACGCCGCCATTCTGTTACCTGTACACTTCGACCTTCGACCTTCCTTTTGTGTGGTGATTGAAGACTCTATTCGTCTTCTCCCTCCTGTTTTCATGATCATCTCCCTTTTTGTTGTTGTATCCTTTCCCTTTCGATTCTGAATTCGGAATCCTTGACGGTTCGAAATTCATTGTGTATTTTTTTGTACTTCTAGATCTACAACAGTTATTCCTTACAAATTGAATTAGAGGTTTTCTGGAGTGCTTTCTACCTGTTTTGTTGCAGCCCGTTGAACGAAAAACGATAGGCGCTGAAAAACCAGCGTTGATCTTCCTTACCATTCTTGATTGATGGATGGTATTGGCAAGTCAAAAATCCTCCAAAAAAAGAACGTATAGCCCACCGCGAGGGTCGAACTCGCAGCCTTCAGATGCCCAAGCCTATGAGTCAGCTTAAAAGTCTGACGCTCTATCCGATTGAGCTAGGCGGGCATATCATCAGGCACATTTGGAAGACTATCACCGGCACCGTCTGATCCGCTTCCTTGCCGTGTTCGTGAGTCGGCGGGATCACCATGTCGGTCTTTCTGCGTCGTTCACGACGTTGTCCGCGAACCTTCCAGCACTGCCGTTTATTTTCTAGAACGCATGGTGAAACACCCAGGCATGACACGGTCGAACTCTCGTATTCGTCGATTCTTCCAGAGAACGGCAACGCGACGGAAAAGCCCCTGGTGATTCTTCATGGACTCTTGTAAGTTCTTGCAACCCTGGAAGAGTTAATTCTTACTGAAGACTCTTCTGACAGTGGCTCAAAGCGAAACTGGGGTTCAATATGCAAGGCTTTACATCGCGACATGCCAGACCGGCCGTTATACGCGCTCGACATGCGGAACCACGGCGCATCCCCACATGCGTCTCCGATGACTTACGAAGCTATGGCAGCGGACGTGAGGAAATTTATTATGGACAAAGGGTTGAAGGACGTTGCCTTGCTCGGGCATTCGATGTGCGTGAATTTCTATCCTTGTTTGCCTTTCAATCTGAGTTATTCGTAGGGGTGGAAAGGCGGCCATGGCCTATGCTCTTTCTCTCAAAGCTAATGGCGAGACTAGCATACCCCTTTCCCAGCTTATAGTTTTGGATATCGCTCCGTCGATAGGGAGCCTCTCATCCGACTTCATCCAATACATCCACGTCATGCAGAAGATTGAAGATCTCCCACCAGGCGTCATAAAGACCCGCACAGACGCAGATAATATTTTGAAACCCTACGAATCGGTGCGCTTCCCTCATTCAGAATGATTGACCTGGTAGCTTATAGTCTCATCACTCCATTACAGGACATTTCTATCCGCCAATTCCTCCTGACCAACCTCAAACTTCCCAGTCATTCCAAAACGACGCAACGTCATGACGCAGAAGAAAAAGCTAAATTTATTGTTCCTCTTGGGATTTTATCCTACTCGATGGAGGCTTTAGGGTCATTTCCATACCGATACAATCCAGACGATCAGAGCGTCCCAACCACTTGGGATGGGCCAACGCTCGTAGTAAAGGGGACGAAGAGCGCGTAAGCCATTCACGCCATTTTTTTTGGACCGCTGAATGTACTGATAGGGTTGGCAGGTATATCAATCATAAGAATACCCCTGCATTCCGTGCGTTCTTCCCGAATATGCAACTAGAAGAGTTGGACGCGGGTCATTGGGGTGAGCACGCTCGTAAATAACATGATTGTTTCTTCTGCGTTCTGACGACGGCGATTACAGTGCATGCGGAGAAGCCAACCGAATTCCGAAAACTAGTCGTTGACTTTTTGAATGAGAGTTAGGTCGTAATCTAACTTGGGTTATTCATTCTCACTCCACCCCTTCTGGATCAAGAAGCTGAGCGGTATCTCTCCCCGAATAACCTTTCCTCTACTGCTTTGATTTCTATCACGTATTTTCAGTCTCTCGTCTTCCACTTCGTTCTCGGGAACCACGTACGAAGAGCGACATGTTTAGAAAAGAAGCGACACATCGCGAGGTTGCCTACAAGTCCAATGAGTTGTCAGCTCGCAAGTAGGGGTTATGAAACTATACCCACCCATCATCTGGTATAATCCATGTACGCCTGAATCGGCCCAGACACCGTTGATTTCGCCTTCTTCGTCCACTCCCCAGGCCGGTTTGATTTTCTCGGCCACGTCATCACCGAAGATGGTGCGAACGGTGTGGCGCGGGTCACTCAAGCTAGGTAATCGAAGGGTTAATTTTATAGCACAGGATCGCGCTACGCAAGGAGACTCACCCGGTGCAAAATAAAACGACATCAGCCGCGAGTTGCGTGCCGTCCTCGAAGGTCAACCCTCCCTCCGTGATTTCTTTGATTTCCGTTCCGCCCTTGACCTTTATCTTTCCGTCGATGATGTACTGGCTTCCGCCGACATCTAATCCCGACTCTCAGCATGTACAATCCATCGGGGATGAGCGCACGAACCCATATAATAGCCTCCAGCTTTCGCCAGGACAGAGGGGATGAGGCCACAGTCCTTGTACCCCATGTTGGTCTTGAATCCTCGTGCATTAAGACCGTCGAGAATCTCTCTATACATGTTGGGAATTAGTTCACGAAGCGCCAGCGATTATCATACGCTCACTTGTCGAGTTCCGCGATTGTCCTCGTTGCGCGATAGGAGATTCCAGCTAAAACAAGGTTCGGCATGGAAGCGCTTAATTTATCTGCTATCTCGACTGGAGGAGCGACCTCTGAGTAACGTCCTGAATGAATGGTTATTGTTGTTAGTGCAGCATGAGGTCGTGTATATTAAATAGATTGAATTACCTTCCATAAGAGTCGGAATCCCGTGCTTGGTGCTCATAACGTAGGTGGAACTCCTTTGGAACATAGTAACATCTTGCGCAACACGTTAGCGTCAAATGCCAGGTACAAAATAAAAAGTATAACCAATTCCATGATCAGCATAGTCAACGGAGATATCATGGGCTGTAACGTGTTCAAGTTAATATCTAAAATTCATAGAATAAATACGTACCAGAAGTACACGCCCCAACGACGACAACTTTCTTTCCAGTGTGATCTGTCGCTCTGTTGTGTTCAAGGGAATGCAATATCTGTCCCTTGAAGCTTTCCTGATCACAAGTCCGATCAGTAATGCAAAATGCCCTTCCCGATTTGGAAACACTCCTACCATTCCGGGATAAGTCGGAACATACCCCTTTCCCCCTCTGAACCCCGTCGCTAATACAACGTGTTTGGCATGAAATATACGCTCTGTACCATCGGTCTTCCTGACTTTCACGTCCCAGATTTTCGTTTTCGCGTCCTGCGTGGCGCTGAGTACGGTTGTCGAGGTCCACGTGTTGATCTCCATTGCGTCCGCGTAATATTCGAGCCAATTCGCTAACTATTGTCCTCGCGTAAGCATACAATATGGAGATATGGTCATAGACTACCTTTTTTGCAGGTGCGAACACCGGCCATGTGGCTGGGAACCTGGAGGAAATACGCTCAGCCTCTAGGACTAAAATAGAACAAGCACTCACGGAATGTAAGGCATGTGGTCGTACCCTGAAAATGGGCTGTCAGACCAACTTGAAGTTGGTCCGCGGATGCGACGTACAGACTGGATCATGCAGACATAGTGCCTCGTATCACGTCCTCCAATTATCACCAAGTTGGAAACACCCAGAGTGTTCCTTGTCGCGTACATTTCCTATTTTGGATGATTTTTATTTCCATAAATAGGAAAATCAGGGTCGAAAGGTCAAAAAAATGCCTTGTTCGAAACTTACTCACTTTCTTTTTTATACATACCAGCAGAGGTTCTCCCCCCCCGAAGGGCAGAAGAACTTGCAGCCGTATCTACAGGAATAAGAAAACTTGAACTTACGGCAAACCAGTCTTTACGTTGGACGTCGTTTGGGAGTCCCAGGTGCTACGCACAAGCAAGCCGGTAGTGAACAACGTGACGACCTTCCTGGCGGACCAAATGGTAGCATTTTTCCAAAGGCGAAATGCGTAGTGTCGAAATGTGAAAGAGCCAGCGGGCATGAGAAATTCCGTAGGGTTGGCTGGACGAGATCCCAGCATTTCCCCATGGTGTCGGGTGACTTGAAAATATATCAATACTGTATACGTCTCTTTCAGAGAAAATGAAGCAGGTGAGCATACCTTCGTGACATCAAACCATTCCTCTCGTTGCCTAAACACCTGGGCAGAATTTCCCGGAAGGTTCTAGCAATATCTGAAAGTCAAAATACATGAGAAGGATGGTAAACTAAAAAGAGAAGGAAACATACCGTGGAAAATCAGGTCAATTCGAACAGGACCAGGTTGGCTTAATGCGATGGCGCAGCAGCATTTCCCGGAAGCCAAAATGTGGCGTTGGATGCTTGAAACAATACCGCAAAGGCAAGGGCCAGCTTTTTAACCGTTAGAATTTTCCTTTGATAGCAGATCAACACCCTAACCTAAACACGAGTGCAGTTTCCTGGAAGTCCAAATATCGTGTCGGATTGATGTTGATGCTCGAAATAAAGGGTTGGAATGTGGGCAATCGTTTGTGAACCTCCGAGGCAGATATTATCTTTTCAACCGTTAGAAATGTTCCTTTCGAAGAAGAATGGACCAGATAACCGTACCTGCAACAGGCTAAACTGATTTCCACATTTTGAAGAAGACAATGAGGACTCTGGGGTAAAACTGTTAGCAAGATTATAAATAAAGTATGAAAGATAAATGCACTCTAAATGCTCGTCGACGCGCTTTCGCGCGTCTCCTCGCTCCCAACAACGATATCTTCCAGTAAAGGTGGGTGCCGCTCGCCGCGGGGCCGAAATATCGTGAAAAAAGGCGATAGAAACATGTAATAAGCGCTAGCATCAAAGAAGGATCCATCAGATGAGAGCGTCAATGCCGCTACAGAATTAAGAGCTCACCATTGCGTGAAAATGGGGGTATTTGGACCAGATGTTGTGCCATCGACGACTACGAAGAACATTATTAATGAGTATGATATGTGAGTAGGGGCCACATACCGACATGGAATAATTAAATGGCATAGTTTCCCCAGCAGCATGAGCAGGAGCGAGAAGGGAGCCGACATGACGACGGGTAGGAATATCTCACCGCAAAGTGTGCTTCTTATATACCCAAAATCCAGATTCCCCTCTTCCGATCCCATCACTCTTTTTAGGTTCAACGGGAATTCCCCGTCAGCTTGGACCGGCCTCCCCTCAAAAATTTTGTGTCTGGGCAGGAGGAATCCCTGATATTCGGGTGAGTCGTTGTCCATTACCTATTCTTTTAGTCTATAATTGCCTCTTCTCAGAGGCATCTTCCGAGTAGCCAAGAACTACTAGGGAGATGTCCCTGAGGAAAGACATTTATAGATTCCCTGGGCAGGGTAATCATTTCTCACATACTTGATTTACTGACCTTTTTTCAAATTATCCTGGTCTCGATTGAAGAAATCAGTCCAAAAA